TAAATTTAGTCTTTTTGTGGTCATATTGTGTCTCTTTGTGGTGATTTTGAATCTCTTCCTGTTTGATTTGTGTTCATTTGAGTAACATTTTGCAAGTGAAGTGAAGTTCTCTTTGGTCCCTGAGCCTGTGACCTGTTCAGTAACCCATCTATGCAATTAAGCACTATTACAAGTGAGTCATACTGCAGGAGCTTCTCCAGCTTGTTAAATGAAATATGAAAAGCATAAAGATGTTGCTGTGTGTGTTGTATTGTACAAGGGTGAATTCTAATAATTTATTTAATCTATTTAACTGTAGCAGCACTGGTAAAGCAAATGTTTTTTTTATTCATGATTTGACAATGTTATAACTAAGCACAGGCTCAATTATTTGGTGATACGTTATTATTTGGGAGCTAGATCCAGACATGCTGTAGTTACGTTTTTTGTAATTAGTGTTCCTCCGCCAGGAAATTTGGAGTCAAACACTTAATTTCCACTATTCTTGTGAATATTTATGCATAAATGTTTGCCTTTTTTTGTATTAATTTATGGTGAAAACATCTTTCATTTCATAACATTTCATTTTATCAAAATAAAAGTCATTAGGTACTTTAATGTTTTTTTGTTTTTTGGAGGGCAGGGGTGGGGAAGATGACAAATGCTGCACATTGAAGGGGCTGAAATCTACACCTATATGGTAGATACTCCAGCCTTAATTACATCTATTTGACTCGAAATGCAGCATTGTAAACAGTATTTTGTTCACTTAACCCACTTTTCCATTGAAAATAAGTGCTTTGGATATTGTTGTAAATTATTCTGAATGTCATTCAGTCGCTCTACATTTAAGCTATATAACGTTTTTAATTATACAGAGTGATTAAGGTACTTGGCCTACCAGGCTGGACCTGCAGTCTGCCCTACCATCTTGTATTTTATACTTAAGATCATGCCCCAAATCCCCAGTGAATATGGAGATGTGACTACTTTCGTAACTAAAGTTATAGTGGGATAAAAACATCCTTTCAGACTGCTTTTTCAACCTGCCCCGGAGAGAAAATCGGTTGTCATGGTGACGCAACATGGTAGACCAGTCTGTGACGCATTTCATTCACATAAACTCCGGTTTCACTCCACTGCTTAACACTGAACACCACAAAAATACATCAGCATACATGACAAAATTTAACAAGGATAAGACACCATGAGTCGGTTATGTAACAGCTATTTTGCAGCTAACATTACACAGAACAAGTAATTAAAATCCACTACCCAAGTTCTAGTTATCATTCACTGAAATGGATATATCTAATGGTATGTACAGCTGAATAGCCGACATTGCTATTAAACATTTCACAGTAGTGAGTCTAAAGGGAGACACGCATGTCAGTAGGCTGTTATATAATAACCGAGGCCCAATACAGAAAATCCAAAGACAGATCTATTTTAATTGTCGTAATTAAAGGTAGAAAATGACCAAAATATGGACTGAATGCCATGATGCAAACTCATACCTTGCCCTGTGTCATGATGCCTGTCTGTCGTCCCGCAGTCTTCCTCTGTGTGCCAACCAGTCAATGGGGCTGTGGTGTCTCCTTTCTTGATAACGTAGTTCTTGCAGAGTCTGTCTGAAGGACTGACAGCTGTGAGAAACGACCTCGGATTGATAGTGTTCTTCTTGCTTGCTCACACTGGACACCCTCTGACGATTTAGTGATGTAATCCCCAAACAACGCAGTTAGGACTCGTGCAGATACCCCTCCTTCACCCACGGAGGGATGTTCTAGCAGCATCCAGGTGAAGCTGCACCATAGAGAAAGGCTGGGACTGTACCACAGCAGCAGGGAAAACGGGGAGGACGGATGCCTGCGTGGTGCGTTATGAGGAGAGGAGTCCAGAGAAATCTGGAAATACGGTCTGCAGCAAAAACTAGGAAAGGGATATTTCTAACTTTACTCAGTGCTGAATAAAATGTTGTCTGTGGGTTTAAAATAGGTCTGAAATTACCTGGAACACAAGTGGCTTATATTTGGGGAAGGTGAACAATTTATAACTGTAACTTTAAAATTAATTTCCATTTATTATCCACATAGCATTCATTTAAATAAGTGCTGCTTAGGGAGTATTTACTGCTAATACATGTTCCCTTAAAAAAACAATCCCAATATATGATATTGCATCATGTGGATTATTTGGAAACCCCAACTGATACTGCTGAATAAATATTATAAAACTTCAATATGTGGCAAAACAAATTCTGGTTACATCAAACAACTATTCATTATGTACAATATGTACACTTTTATTTAAAAGTGTAAAGAGCACAGATGTGTTAAAAATAATACAGAAAAAAATGTCCTGTACTGTAGATGGTGCAGAAAAAGCATTCAAAGTCAAACTTATCAACTTATTTCTTGTTTAAATTTAAAAACTAACACAGACGCTGGAAAAGAAAATACATAAGTATTGTAAGAACTGACATTCAGATTCTGGTCTACACGCTAGTTATCTTTGGATATTCATTGAGCTCTCTGTGAACTATTTTCACGTCTGTTTTTAAACATATGATGGAGCTACTATATTACTGACTCACATGGGGATACAGACAGATGAAAACAATTATATGCTGTCAAACACATCTGTGGACACAATGAGGCAATAACATGTTATCTGGAATACATCATGGAATGCAGTTTGCTTAACAAATGAAGGTCAATATGGCCATGTTCCAACGGACAGGAAAAACAAAAAAGTAACAAGGCAATATGTAAAAAATGAAAATTCAATTGAATTTTAATCTCCCAAAACATCCCCTTTGGACTTTAATTTCCTTCACTGATACATATGGCAAAATATAGACTTATGACTATTCCAGTGGAACACATGAGGTCTCTAACTGGCACATTACATGTGAAAACAGTAAAGCATAGATGAGTGTAATGTGGTCCTTCTATTCAAAACATCTCCCCCTCCCCTCTGGTTCCTTCCAGTCTCAGGTCTGTGTCGTTTCTGCCCAGAGTGAACAGACTGACTACAGCCATCAAAGCTGCCAGCATCATAACTGCACAGCCTCCAAACATGTGTCTGGTGCCGCTGCCCTCCTCCCCTGCACCTGTTCCTGATATCTCCCCATGAAGCGCCAGCAGCCCCAGGCAGGCCAGCAGGTGCAGAGGCAGCCGGAACCAGGCCAGCACCCCAGCACGCTTTTCCTCTGGGATCACCCTGCCCTGGAGAAAGCTGACTGCAGGGAAGTAGAGCCCACAGGCCAGCTCCAGCAGCAGGAAGGCCAGGAAGGACTCACGAGGTCTAGGTTGGCCTGGGGTAGTTGAAAAGGTCAGCATGAAAAGGGAGAAGAAGGCCATCAACACAGCCAGGCAGAGAACATGGCCAGGCTGTAGACGGTAGCGTGTGGAGGTGGCTAGGCGGTAGAGCAAGGAGCCGGCCATACTGGCAGCCATCAGACAAGAAAACACTATTCCCAAAGGAGGCCCATGAGGGTCCAGTACCGGGGTCCACAGGAAAACAAAAATGTAGAGGACACTTTCAAACAGAGCTTGCACTCCACCTAGTAGCATGACTCTCTTGTCTGATAAAAGGCAGCGCAACCCATCATGGCAGCTGCGTGAGAAACGGGCCCTCGCAGACAAACGGGTCACACCTCCATTTGGAGCACCTAGAATAAGTTTATGTTTGTCTCCCTCGTGGCATTCTTCAGCCTCTTCCTTGCCCCAGTCTGTTAGTACCACCCAGCCACAGCCCATCAAGCAGGGGACCGCCAGAAGAAAGGGGGCCACTGGTCCTAGGTGGAGCCATTCAGCCAGCAAGTTAGCAACCAGCCCTGCTCCCACGGCGAGCCCATGATTCCAGGTAGCAACTTTGGTGAACGTACTTGGGATCCACTCCTTAGGAAAATCATGGACATCTACATGACGGTGCACGTACCAGGCTTCAAATGTGGTGGTGAGAAGGGATGTGGACAGACCCCCCAGGATCCGACCCACAATCAAAACAAAGTAGTCTGTGGACAGCTTGGTGAGACAACAAGCAGAGTAGGACAGGCAGAAGAGAAGACATGTCTGTCTGCGGCCCAAGACTTGAGGGAGCCATCCTGAAAAAGGAGCAAACAGAACACAAGAGGCCAGGCCACACACATATAAGATGGCTATTTGAGATTCCAGGAAGCTGTAGTGGCGGTACAGTTTGTAGAGGTAAGGACCCTGGAGCCAGTCTGCCCACAAAGCCAACAGGTATGCCCGGAGGAATATACTCTGGAAGCGACGGAAAACTGGGTTGGCCGTGGCAGTAGGAGTAGACTGAGGTGGGGTGAGACGGCGTGCTGCGAGCTCCAGGACAACACACAGGGCAAGCAGGAAAATGATGGCAAGATATGCTGTCACCAACATGGTGTGATAAACTGCACCCACTTGAGGTCAAACCTGGGGTCCCGGGGCGTTTTCAGCTCTCTTCTTTCTATTTCTCAGCACCTGAGGAGAGAAAGGATGAACAGGATGTACATTCAGAAAGATGAACGTTGACGTTACCGTTGAATAAGTTGTTAATCTGTCATGTGAAGTCGTAGCTAACTTTGCTAATAAGCTTGAACTCCAACGAATTTAGTTAACTACTCAACTAAAATTGCATTAATCAGTTACGGAAGTTACCTGCATCTATGACGGAAAGCTTGACTTGTGACAGTTCAGTTTTGTTTACTTAAACACGTAGACTATGCTGCTGTTGTTTAGCTAGCGCTAGCATCCAAGCTAACCTGCTACTGACGTTAAAATAAAACGTTATAACTTCCGTTGCTATCCTGCCATACGTTTCCCACCATATTGCAACATACTATATGATATATCTTACCGTGCCGTTTGACATCGGTCCCATATTAGTTTCACGACGTACCCAAGTGATAACATTAAACATATCTGTCGATAAGTGATAGTGTATAAACGGCTACATAGCTAACAGAGCATTCACTTCCGGGATCCGGGATCTGTGATCTCACCACAAGATGGCGGCACTGCTTTGCTTTCTGAGCTCCAGGGGAAGGAGAAAGTTGTTGCCAGACTTTCTCAGAGGGCCAGTCCACTCCAGGTTGGATTTGATTAATTTACTAAAACTTGGTCATTTAAAGGAACTAGCTCATGAGAAATAGTTTGTAGTTTTTGTGTTGTTGTTTTTGTGGGGTTGTTTTTTGATGAACTCCTATGACTCCAACGTTACAAATGTGTGCAACATGCCAAAGGCTAATGACCATGAGCTACTGTTGCTCTGCTCTGTTTGACCTAGTTTTAGCTTTGAAGGCAGTCACGCCTCTAGGTGACTTTAACATGCACACCCAAACAGCATACAGGCTATAAACCTGTGTTAGATAATGACAGTGCCATCCAGCTAATGCAAACTGTAGTTGTATGTAGTTGTACTCATCCCTGAGATCTATACAGTCCTAACCAGTGGTGGAAGAGTACTCAGATCCATTACTTAAGTAAAAGTACTAACAATGTAGAAATACTCTATCGCAAGTAAAAGTCCTGCATCCAGAAACCTGTGTAAAGGGGAACACCACCTACATTAATCAATCAATCAATCAATCAATTTTATTTATAAAGCCCAATATCACAAATCACAATTTGCCTCACAGGGCTTTACAGCATACGACATCCCTTTGTCCTTAAGACCCTCACAGCGGATAAGGAAAAACTCCCCCCAAAAAAACCCCTTTAACGGGGAAAAAAAAACGGTAGAAACCTCAGGAAGAGCAACTGAGGAGGGATCCCTCTTCCAGGACGGACAGACGTGCAATAGATGTCGTACAGAACAGATCAGCATAACATTAAGAATTCCAATATGTTATTTCCATGGCCCTGGAGAGTTCAATCAATATTTGTGAATGTGAGCTACCCTCTCCAAGAGCCAGTAGTCTTAAACTTGTGATGTCATCAAGTATAAAGTCTAGAGCTGCTCCATAGTTAATGTATGAGAGCCTGATTTTGTGGACCCACAGATGTTTGTTATTTTTTTAATAACCAGATGAGTTTTATTCTACTGTAGTGCTTTCTGCCCTGAAACAGAAAATGAACCCATGTACTCAGAACACTCCCCTGGCTGCTCTCAGTGTCATCTGTGACATATTTTCAAATTAATTTTCCATGCAGTTGCTCCAGATTTTACACCCTATGACATCATAAATTTGGGTTTTAGCACCCTAGTTTTTTTGATCTGGGAGAGAGTGTTTCATGTTAAGGCTACTCATATTCTTGGACTCTCTTATACCATAGAAATATATGAGTTTTGAAACTGGGCAAAGGTCCCCTTTATAAGCAGGGTGCAAAACTAACTTTTTTAACTACAGCCAAATGGCAAGTGTATCCCCAAATTTTACCAGCCACTTAGTAGATTACCATTGATTTTTTTGGCTAGTGAGGGTAGCAAATCTACCAGCCACGTGCATATTTTAGCAGCATTTGGCTAGTGGATGGTGCTAAGTTTGTACCCTGAGTATAAGTACTCACAACAAAATATGATTAAAGTACTAAAAGAAAAGGTACTCGTTCTGCAGTAAAATGTCTCCTGTGACTGATGTATTATGTATATGCCATTATTAGATGTAAGAAGATGAAATCTGACGGGTCATGAGATGATTAACGGGAGAGGTAAGGAGAAAAAAACAAGTTCTTCTACACAAATATTTGATTTTTAATGTGTGAAATATGTAATACTTTGACCTCTTTTGGCCCTTAACAGTTATTGAAATTAAACGTGTGAGACATTTGAGGGGAAAAGTCTCTTTGGTGCTTTTATGTAAGAGGTCACGAGTCAAAAAGATTGGAAACCAGTGGTACAGTATTTTGTCTTAACAAGGTGTTATATTTTACAAGGTTATCATATGTTTTTATGTGAAATCTTAGGCAAATAGCCTGATGTAGTGTAGTTAAAAAGTACAATACCTCCCTTTAAACTGTAGTGCTGTGGAAGTATAAAGTAGCATAAAATGGAAGTGTGGAAGTGCCTCAATACTTTACTTAAGTACAATACTTGAATGGACACAAAAGAATGACACACAAACAGAGTAATACATAATTTGAACTTTATATCATTATATCATTTCTATTTAGGAAGAAAGATTTACAAAATGTACAAGATGTGCTCAATCAGCCTTAATCAAACAAGCAAACAGTGAGAAGACCAATCAAACACGATCTCTCACCCAAAAATATCTCTTGTGTTTGTATGACAAACATTGGGGGCAGAGGAAGGGTGCGTGTGGAGTGAGTGCTGGTGATTTCAGGGATTATGCTGGTTGGTTACATCATCTGATAGCAGGAAGTGCGTCGAAGATGTCTGAGAATCCCTACTACATTATGCTCCTGTGCAAAGCCCCCTTGGCATGGCCAAACCCCCACCTATTACAGGAAGGTCACTACATTCTTCTTTACACCGAACTCATCCGTCCGATCCATTACATCAGTTCAGTCATTGATACATAGACATTAGGGTAACATAATATTTACAGCAACAAAAATTAACAAAGGAACTACACAACCCAACATGCATGGGGCGTCTCCATCAGCCCAGATGTCATACGATATAGTGACACAGACACAATGTTTTTGTGAAATAAACTAAAATGCCATTGACTTATGAAGTTGGCATATTCAAACCCAAGGTGTGCCGAATGCTTTCTGGAATAGTAAGAGACAGAATGAATCCCATTGTGTACAAGTGACACGTTAAAATAGTGGTCTCATTCCAGTACAAATGCAGATGGTATGTTTGTGAAACAGTGATACACAATTACCTTAATATTTCAGATTCAGCTATATATTATATACAGGTTCCCTTTCTCTTAACACAGACTGACATAGTCAATCATCACTAATGGTCCCTAAATATAACTGTCTTTCAACTGCTGCTTAGTGATGGCCTGTTGATACTGTACGGTTTTAAGGAATAAACAGAAGTGAACTGGCTTTTATTCTTAAGTATGAGTATGAGTATTATGAGCAAGTGCACAAATGATTTGTCCAAAAGGGTAATACTAAATCTACATGATAATTTATTTTTTTACTGGAACAATGTCTGTCAAGAGGTGTTGAGGTTTATGTGTATACATGAGCTTGTATGTGTGTGTTTATTCATCCCAAAACGTAGTATGAAGATCAATAGTGAGTCAAAAATATGTTCGCTGCTGCCCTCGGTTATCCTGAAAAACACTCCTCAGATTGCACAACTCCTTGTTCCTCAATTTTCAAGGAAGTCCTCTCCTTGGAAGATGATATCTGTGCAGATGTGTGTGTTTGTGTGTGGTGTACTTAATGTTTCTCTGTAAAACAGTTTGGATCTGTGTGCTCCACGAAGAAGCGGCCTGCTCAAGGGTCGATGCGAAAGGCCAACAGTTTGTCGGAGTGCAGATTGTTGAGGGTGCGCAGGTCCGGCAGGCGCAGGAGGAGTTTGGGGAAGAGGGCGGAGTCATCTGGGCGACGGCGAGTGATCAGTGACCTTAGGGCACGGATCAGACCCTCCTGTAGCTGTTCCACAGCCCGCATGTCTGAGATGCCAGAACGATCTGAGGAGCACAGAGGACGCCAGTGTGAGTGGTTGACAGACACAGTTACAACATTATTGGTTTATTAACAAAGCGTCGCTGCCCTGCAGCTTTTGCCACTGTATTTCTACTCATTAAGTAAATAGTGTGCCTCTCTCACCTGCAGAGACCAGCACCACAGCCATAAATAGGGCCATTTCATCAGGCTCCAGCCCCAGGGAGCCCAACTTCTCGCTGAACTCAAACATTGCGTCCAGTAGAGAACCCATGCCCAAGGCCCGCAGAGTGGATAGGGGGTAAGTCTGGCCATTCAGGAACGTCACCGTACGCTCCTCAGCATTAAACAAGGTACAGAACCTCACCATCAGAACCTAAACACGCACGGTACAGAGACAAAGGAACACAAAGATAAGTTTGAACCAAATAATTACATGAGTAATACCTGATGAGTCACAAATAAGGACTCACATATTTTAAATAAATCAATTGGAATGTCTGTCATTACCTGAAAGGTGCCTGATTTGAGCAGCATGACTTGGTCTTGTTGGCTAAGCTCTTGAAATCCTGGGATGCCCTTGGCAAACTCTACCACCTCCTTGACAGCAGGAGTGAAACACTGCGAGAATGATTCCCATATTTCCTGACTCGTGCGCTCTGCCTTTGATATGGGCCATGCGTTGAGGGGACAGGCCTTAGAGGAAAACAAGGACAGAAAAAATCATAAGTTGTTGGTCAGACAAAACACATCACAAGAATTTTGATCTAATTTAGTATGCTTACTGCTCTTACCAGCACTTTGGCTCCTGGAGCTAATTTCCATGGGCAAGTGGGCTGGTTTTGGGTACTTCCTGCATTGCGGAAACTGTTATGATTGACAGAGGTGGCCCTTTGAGAGGTTGTACTGTTGGACTGCTCATGATTCTGGTTTGTTGACACTAGGTAGGTATAGCGGTTGTTTTCCACATTGTGGAATGTAGCCTGGTTGTCATTGGGGGCAGCTGGGCATAGAGTGGCAGACGCAACAGGGCATGACTGATAACTCTGTGCAGGGTTGGGGTGAGAGGAGACTTGGGTAAAGTTGGCATCCTGAGAAAAGGAAGATGTGTTGTTGTTGTTATTGGTGGTGATGTTAGCCCTCTTGGCTGCTCTCTCCTGGCCGTTGTTGTTGCTGCTGGTGAAAATGTCACGGTAGGCTCTGGAGATGGCCCCAATGGCCTCTTTTGAGTTGCCATCTTCTGGGCTGCTGGGAGCATCCCTCACCGAAGATGAGTCCATGTCCATGGCAGCCGACTCGTTTAGGCTGTTCATGTAGCTCTGCATCTCATCCAGAAGTCGCTGCTTCTCTCTCTTGGGGATGCGGCCAAAACGCACAGCTAGGGAAGACACAAGAAGCAAGGACAGATTAGCTTTCAGTCATTGTGACAACATGGACATTGACACTGGACATGTTTTATGCCTTATGTTTTCAGAGTTGTATGTTTTTTGATTGGAAAGAATGCTGTCTAAAATTTCATAAAATTATGATATATGCCATTTAGGAAAGACAGGACTACTACTGTTACTTATGCCGGCTATAAATTAGATTAAGCATGGTGAAACAGTTTCCTGTTACACCTCTTTATATATACATAAGAAGCATGAAATCACCTTAAGTGTTGAATGATTCAAGAGGAATCACACAAGTTGTGAGATAAAACTTCCCTCTCCTCACCCATATCCCCCATCCCCCTTTCCACAGTAACCATCAGCTGGAGAGGCTATTTATAGACCCCCTGCTACCATCTGCCTCATCCTCTCCTCTATCCACCCCTGTCTCCTTCCTCTCCCGCTCCCTCCCTCCATTTGTAAGTAGGGCAGTGGGGCAACGTGAGCGTGATGTCACTGGTACTGAGATCGTGAGAGGGAGAAGGATGAGAGAGGTGGGCTTGAAGCGCATAAATGAGTTGCGAAGACAGTAGTCTACGCAACTAGTAGACGGTAGTGAGAACATGAACATGAAGAGGACTGACATGAGAGATGGTGATGCATGGAAAGTGAGAGTGTATTTGTGCAAGATGGAGTTAGATAAGGCAGGAAAGTTGAGCTGGTACAGCTTCAAAGACTTTTGCAAGTATAGCATGTCTGAATTTTCTTTTTGAAAGTGGAGCAGAAAAACTGTATAGCAATTCCCATATGTTATACGTAAGCACTTTACATGAAGCCACAGTGTTTGGTCAAGTGAAGTGACTTGGCCCAGTAATATGCACAGTACATATTGCTATGTTTACCAAATATACAGTGATCTGTTCATTGCCAGCAGGGTCGCTTGATGAGGATGGGGCCAATAATGTGGCATGAGATTAATCCCTTTCATCACGGTTAAAAAGAAGCAAATGCAGACTAGCGAGCCGGTGCTCTAAAAATGATGCTCTGGTTAGAGGAAGAAAAGTGTGCCATCATGCCAACAGACTTAATAATTTGCCTATATTGCAGAGCCAAAGTCACACAGCTGCCTGGTGTGAAATCAGGGTGTACTATTTATTGTGGGCTGCAGGCAGTTGCATGCGGTTTTCCTGTTTTCGTAATGATTGAGGCAGAGCAAAAAGGGGTTTCTAGGTTGTGGTCCTGAATGCTTTCGAAAATCGCCTCTAAAAGGGGCGACCTGACTGTTTGTTCTCTCACTGAGTCGTATTTTGCCACCCTATTTTCTCCGTGCACCAGAAGTGTCAAGCACATGCAGAAATAACACTAACCTGTTTACTAGATTAGGCAATGCAGGGTACTGGAGGGTGGAGATAAGCAGAAACCATACTGAGAGGAAGAAGGCAGGCAAACTACACCAAGTAGGTCATGATGTATGCAGGTCCAATTCTGTATTGTTTTTCTAGGTCAGCCCAGCTGTTTTCTTAATCTGCCATGATAGGTGATCAATCAATGTTGAGCTATCAGAACTAAAACTAGGTGATGTGAGCATCACACCTGATAAAATCTGTCACAACGGCTGGCTGTTTTCTGCACCCTTTGCTTAATTGTTGCCCTATCCCTCATTAATTGCGGTAAGATATTCTGTGGGCATACACAAGGTAATCAAGTTGACCCTGTTCCAATTTCCTAAAATAATTCCTGTGTTTTCTGCAGTTTTCCAGATGATAGATAGCTTCGGGGACTTCAAGGCTCCTCTTCTCATAAATCATTGTCTGAGGGGGAGACGCAAGAGAGCTGAGGGAACATGGTGGGTACGTGGATGGGGAGGGGCTGTGCTGAACAGGAGTGTGGAGTATTGTGGGAGGATGCTGTAAAGGGCATGAGAAAGACACCTAGAAACTTAAGAGAGAGTAGTACAAGGCCAGATGGTAATCTTTGGCAGTGCAGTGACACAGTAGAAGGGCAAGGCAGGTGCAGGTCTGCTGATAAAGTGAGTGACTGAGCCAGTGGCACGATGACCTCAAAAGACTTTCCGCATTACATTTTTCACACAGACCTACATATTAGTACTGTGCCTCTTTCAGGCCGCCCATTTCCCTGCTGCTTTGGCTAATCAGAGCACTGTGGCATTCTGGCAGAGCTGCACGAGGGCCTCTCTCGTTAAAATGTGTCAGGATGTCTCACCATCTCTTGACATGCCAACGGAGAGGCATTTCTTGAAGCGGCAGTGCTGGCACCGGTTGCGGTTCATGCGCATGATGAGACAATTCTCATTCTTCACGCACATCTTGTAGTTGATGTTCTGCTGGATGCTGCGGCGGAAAAAACCCTGAAACAAACAAACGAAAAACAATCTCATGAAACTGGAGCACCGAAAAGCAACGCATTGTTGTAGCATTAATGGTCCAATACTTATTTTCTGCAGTATCAGTACACCAGTACTAGCTGCGCTTTCTCACTCTCTCTACATTTATTCTGCTGTTCTCGGCTACTAACCAAGAAAAGAAGTCGTTGTTGTCACGTTATAGCCTTGTTACATTTATTTTTATCTTGTTTTTTCCCCGCGGTATTGGAAATGTTAGCAAATATTGGTATTTTTCAAGTTATTGTATTGAAAACAGAAAGTCCAGACTTACCTTGCAACCCTCACATGCATGCACACCATAGTGGAAACCAGATGCAATGTCCCCACAGACTTTGCAAAGCAGGACCATTCCTCCTGTCTCTGTGGAAGGGTAAACAGGTAGTTAGATAAGCCAAAAAACTTTAATAAACGTATTCATCTTTGAGCGCATCGACACAGTGAGGAAACACTTACTTGTGAACGTTCCTGTGAACCCGCATGGCCTCTTTCCCGCGATGGGGTGTGCATAGGTATGCTGTGGAGTGGCTGCTGCAGGGGGGGGACTGTAGACGTCTGGGAACTGGAATACCAGTTTGGAGGACGGGGTGGTGCACCCACTTGCCCTGTGTTTCAACGCCCCAATCTCTGTGAAGGTAACCTCCTCTGGAGATGAGGGCTGGGAGTGTGAGGAGGGTGACTGGGTCTGGTACCCGCTGGAGGGGCTGCCAGGGCTGGGGCTGGAGCTGCCGGAGGACCCTGCATACAGGATGACTCCTGCAGAAAGGAGAGAGAAAAGAAGACATCAGACCTGTGAGCTGAGAGTTTGTGGTCAGGTGATTCAAATTTGAGTTAAAACTCTTAAGTAAAGCACACAATGTTGAAATGTTTCATAGGAGTGGCCAGGTGTAGCCACTGAAAATCTTGGGGTGGTACACCGAAACCAAAAGCGATAACTGAATTTCAGGAATTCTGCTCTGCTGTTGTAGTGCAGCCTATAGGCCTATCTATACAGCCTAACTTTGGAGCGTTATTAAGCCCCCCTACTGACAAGCTGCGCTGACATTGTTAGAACCAAGGGATGCCTTAGGTTGTCTAGTTTCACAATATACCACTGTCTTCGGGTATGTATGTATCTTCTAGCTTAAAAAATGAGCCTGCAGCTGTGGGCACCTTTCTTTAATTACCTTCCAAATAGCACAGCACACGTAGTACGCAGGTGACATGGTACTATAGACTGGCACCCTTTGAGTAAAGCTCTATAGACTGGCACCCTTTGAGTAAAGCTCTCTCCTGTGTATTTTGGCTCTCTGAATTAGTTGTGTTCCCCCAACTTGTGCTTCTTATGTAGGCTGAGCGATCTCTATACAATTATTTCCCGCCGTGTGAATGACTTCATGTAATGCTGCTGCCCTCTGATTGTTTCTTTTTTCCAATCTAAAGGTCTGTGATGTGCTCTTTTCTATCTGGACAAAAATGAGCACCCCACAGCCTCTTGAAGACATTCATATTGGCCTCCAGTTATTTTCGAAAGAAGGACCAGTGATTGTAATAGAAGGGCCATGGGCCCCCTGCACCCCCCTTGGTGGCGCCACTGCTTACTGATTTAAAAAGTCATTGGCTGAATATAAATTGTATCATAAATTTAAGTTGGCCATCCATATGTTTTTAAAACCGCTCAGCTACTGTACATCACTGGATGTGATGTAATGTTGCACAAATTGCAGGCAGCAGTGAGCAGCTCTGACAATTTGCTGCGTCGTTGCCTCATCCTGAGTGCAATAGGCGTAATGTTGCGCTCAAGCGGATAAAGTGGGCGCTAAAAATACTGCTGGTAGCACAGCAACAAAGCAGACGGGCTTCCTGCAGGAGCACCAAGGACGCGTTTTTTCCCTAAATCAAATCTGCGTCATGCTAATGCATTTATATAGGGACCGTGTAAATATGTAAAGTGTTTTCTGTTGTTGAGCTGTGACTGTTTCTGAAGTTTCGCTTTCCTCGCACCCCCCCCCCCC